TTTATTTATTTTTGGGACAGAGAGAGACAGAGCATGAACGGGGGAGGGGCAGAGAGAGAGGGAGACACAGAATCGGAAACAGGCTCCAGGCTCTGAGCCATCAGCCCAGAGCCCGACGCGGGGCTCGAACTCACGGACCGCGAGATCGTGACCTGGCTGAAGTCGGACGCTTAACCGACTGCGCCACCCAGGCGCCCCTAGGCAGTGTGTAATTTAATTGACATTCTAAAAACTTTGAACTTTATTTTTTTAGATTTCCAATTTGTTTCTCAGTACATCAGTAACAATCCATTTAGCCTCCTTTACATCATTTTCAGAACACCAATCAAATAATAATTTAAAATTCTAATCATATTTCATCATGAAACTTACAGGGTTCTTAGACTTGACAAATTGGCTTGTATCAGCTCTTGCAGATTAGCCCAGAGCCCTGAAGTAAATTAGTTTTGAAAGACATGCTGAGAAAAGCAGAACTTGTGGTTAAAATTGCAAGATTATTACTTCCCTTTGCCTTTTATTTTTGAATGTTTCAGTGTTCATTACTGATGCATAATTACCTTACTAATTTTTACTTTTTATGCAAGTATGAGTCGGGAACACTGATGAGCAAAAAACCAAATAAAAATTAACCATAATTTCATCACCTAGAAATAACCACTAGTAACATTTTATGAATATTTTTACATCTGCGCATGTGTGCATATGAATATACATATACGTTTCCAAACCTAAAGGAAAAATACTGTCTTATGTCTTGGCTGTCAAAATTAATAAAGCAGTTGGTGTATCCTTTTTTGATTTCCTCACATTTTTAGTATGCTATGCCTAGATTCTATAGCTTTGATATACTTTATGGCATCTCCGGTTTATTCCACCTGTCCAGGAATATTGATGCTTCGTTGTCCTCAGCTGTGATTCATTTTTCATTCCTAGTCTTCTCTTTGATCTTTGAAGCCCGATGCTCACATCCCACCCCTAAATGGCCTGCCTCACCCTTGATGGCACTGTTGCATAGAGCTGGGAACAAACAGGAGACACGGCTTGTTCCTGAACACTGTTCACAAATGCATCACACCTGATACCTAGAAGGATTGGCTTTTAGAAACTATTCTTCTGCTAAGTTTGTTCTGTGAAACCACTTTCAGTTGTGGCATTACTTTGTAAGTTTGATTTTCCTGCATGTAATAATAGTAGATTGGTTTATCTTTTTAAAAGTGTTAAGTGAATACAATCAGTTTTCTGATACAGGTGATTTTTTTACAAAAATGTGGATTTGTTTGTGTATTTTTTTTAATTTGTGGGAACTAATGATACCTATGTTTGTCACAGGTTTGATTATATCTTAAAAGCAACTAATAAGGTGTTTTTTTGGTTTTTGTTTTGTTTTGTTTTGTTTTTGTAAAATCTTATTTTAGCAACAACCAACTCAGTTTATAAATCCAGAAACTCCTGGCTACGTTGGATTTGCAAACCTTCCCAATCAAGTTCACCGAAAATCAGTGAAAAAAGGTTTTGAGTTCACACTAATGGTGGTCGGTAAGAAATTAACCTTTACACCTTACACCTTTGAGCTTTTTAAATATGCAGGTGTTTCCTCTTCTCAACCTTTAGGGTATAATTGTGTGACCTATAAAGTCCAAGGGAATATTCCTGTATTGTCAGGATCAAATAACTGGGGAATTTGAAAAAGATTCTTTAGAAAATTTTTCTGAAGAGTGAAATCTTAATATTTCTGTCGTTTCCTTACTTGTATGTGGTGGAAGTATTCACTCATTATGCCAGTGAGCCTCCAGAATGGCCCCAGTGATCCTTGCCTCCTGGAATTTGTGATACTTTCTAGCCCCTTCCTACACTGAGTAGGACTTAACCCGTGTAGCCAGTAGAACATGGCAGCAATGAAGGTGTGTGACTTTAAGACTGGGTCATAAAAGACATTGCAGCTTGCCCCCTATCTTTTTTTGAATCACTCTGGGGGATGCCATCCACCATGTTGGGAGGACCCTTCAGCAGCCTTATAGAGAAGTCTCACAAGGCAAGGAGCTGAGGGCCACCAGTTGCTGTGTGTAAGCTGTCCAAGACCTTCCCTAACAAAGTTATAAACAAGCTTTGAAGGATCAAGCTGGGTGAAAAATTAGCTGCTTGTCAGGACAAAACCCATCATTCATTAAAGATGGAAATCAAAATCCAGTGTACAGTGTAATATTTACACTTGCCATCATCCAGTAAAAAGTTGTAAATGCAAAGAAGCAAAACAGTGTGGCACGTAACCAAGAGAAAAATCAGGTAATAGAAACAGATCCAGAAATGATAGAGATGATAGAATTAGCGAACAAGACCTTTTACTATTTTAAATGTGCTCCTGCTACCTAAAGGAGAACATCAATATAAGAAGGAAATAGAAGATAACCAAAAGAACTTACATGGAACTTTTAGAGATTAAATTTTTTTCTGACAGAGCTAACAGCAAATTATATACTGCCGAAGAGAAAGGGCAATAGAAAGCATCCAGACACCAAGTAGAATAAATAAGAAAAGCACACCAGGGCACACAATAAACAGTTGGTGAAAGCACTGATAAGAAGGAAAATCTTATAAGTAGGTGGGGGGCGGGGAACAAGCACATTACATGCAGAAGGTCAAAGGTGGAAAGGACCACTGACTTATCAGATATGAGCCATATGCAGTGATAGTTTAAAGTACTGAAAGAATAAAACCATCGGCTTAGAATTCTGAATTAATCAAAAATGACCTCGAAAAATGGAGATTTAGAGAAAGATGAAATATAAACATTTTTAAGTAAAAGCTGAGAATTTGTCACTGTCAGATCTACACCAAAAGAAAGATTAAACTGGGTTCTTCAGGTTGACGGAAAAGGTAGAGCACTGGAAATGGCAAGTGTGTTGGTAAATGTAAAACACTTTTCTTGGTTTTTCATTTCTGTCGAACATAGTTTTAAAGCCAAGTTAACAGTGTTTAACATGGAGTAAGATGAATGAGGGCAGCACAGGATGGGAGGGTGCTGAGCTGATGTTACATAAGGGAGGGCTGCTGCGTTAGTGGTGCGTGTTATCAACTCCAGAGCAGCCACTAGGAAAGTCAAACAAGGGTTTGACTCAAAGCCAATAGTTTTTTTTTTTTGTTTTTTTTTTTTAATTTTTTTTTCAACGTTT